TCTGACTGATCATTCTCCTCCTGCTGTTGCTGATCGCCTTCCTGTCCTAGCAGGCGAGACCCTTCCCCCACAGGTGCGCGTGCCTGCGGCAACTCTTGGCCAAGTTTGGAGGCTGGCGGAGGGCCTTCGCGCGCTCCTGTTGGTTCAGGTCCAGGCGCACGCCTCGCTGTCTCAGCCTCCCCGTGGTGTTCTTCTTGATGGGCAGCGAGCGGACTGTCTTGAGGCCGCTGACCAGCTCGGAATGCTCCTGGCGCCCGTGTTGGCTGCGCCCGCGCTGGGAGGTTTCGCGGCTGTGGGGGAGCTTGAGGCCGCTGTCCGTGGCGTGCGCCGTCATTTGCGCGCAGGGTCTGCAGCCGACGCGATCGGCGCAAGTACGTTGGTGGTGCGGGAGCTGTGGCGAGCTCTGACTGGGATGCTCGCTGCTCTGGAGGCTGACCGGATGTAGCCGTGGCCTTCTGTGGTTCCATGGGGCTTGTCATGCTTAGCTGCTGTAGGCTGACCACCTAGATGCCATTGTGTGTAATTGATGCTTATAGTAGTATGTATGTGTGAGCGAGCTTGCCGTCCCCTCACGCGCGGCCGAAGGCCGCGCTGTCGAGCGTCGGCCGCCGAAGGCGGCCGGCGCGAGCCGCTGGGTTAGAAGAAACGAACCCGCAGCTGAATAATGAGCCACCTAACCAGGCCCCGGGCCTTATATACTAGGGGTAGAGGTGGCTGAGAGGCTGAGAGGCTAAGGGACTAAGGGACTATGCTCTCTCTCTCTCTCTCTCTCTCTCTCTCTCTCTCTCTCTCTCTCTCTCTCTCTCTCTCTCTCTCTCTCTCTCTCTCTCTCTCTCTCTCTCTCTCTCTCTCTCTCTCTCTCTCTTCTGTCTTATCTGGCAAGGATCGACAAGCAACGGGCGATCAATGAACGGCGTACCTTCTGCCCCATCCTCGCAGCTGCCCCGAAGAACGAGCGCAGCTTCCACGCCGGGCTAACAGCGATGCTGAAGACAATCGATTGGACGTCGAGCTACCCCAACCTGGTGCATTGCTGGGTGGCTTTCGCCATGCTGCCGCTGAGCACAGTGGAGTGTGAGTGTGGTTTTTCACGCCAGAATATTATCAAATCGTGGCAGCGGGGGAGCCTCAAAGACGCCTGCCTTGAAGACCTCAACACGATGTCTCTCCGCGAGTACGAGCCAGACTACGAGGTGTGCATATCTGGCGCAGCTACAAGAAGCGCTGCCCATTTGGCAATGTGGCAGCACCTCCAACAAGAGAGGGGGAGGGCAGTGGTGGGAAGGGAAAGCTGTCAGAGGTCCACTGGAGATCCCCGATGATCCTAGGGAAGGGTTACAGGCACGTCGGCCTGGGGGGTTATGGGCGCACTTACCCGCCATACAAACAAGCCCTTTTATCCCAGTGGTTAGTGGCTGGGATTCTGACATGGTATCAGAGCGAAGGTCTCGGGTTCGATTCCCGGTGTGTGCACTTCGGGCATCCCAGTGCGGGGGGGTGTCAGAGGTCCACTGGAGATCCCCGATGATCCTAGGGAAGGGTTACAGGCACGTCGACCTGGGGGGTTATGGGCGCACTCACCCGCTATGTAAACAAGCCCTTTTATCCCAGTGGTTAGTGGCTGGGATTCTGACAAAAGCAGGCAGTTGAGAAGGAGGAGTTGGAAGAACCAGTGATGATGATAACAAGGATTCTTCTTATGGTGATTTAACCCTCTCTAGGTCGTGCTAGCTAGCTCGCTAAGCTTTGGTTTTAGATAGATAGAAGGCTGTTTCATAGTGTTATCTAATTATGTTAGAAACTTTTAATAATATCTGTTATTTTTTTTATAGGGAACACTGATGCTTCAGTGATTTTTTTTCTTAAAGGTGACACTGATGTTTCAGGGTATTTTATTAAGGCACACTGTCAATCAGGAATTCCACACAGGGTGACACTTATGCATCAACGTCCCTAGAAGTGATTATGAGGGCCTGTATCTAGGGCACATGCAGCAACCATATTTGGTTTTCAAGAGTCTTCAACCCTTGAAGTTCAACTCCTCGGGTCCATTCATTTTCGTATTGAATGTTAAGATAGTGCGCGCACTAGACATCAACCGTTCAATAGTGATTGAACAAAGTACTACGTTTAGAGGTTTGATCGGTTTGTGGTCAATGACCGTGTGTTAACGAGGAAGCTCATAATGGTTAGCCGAAACCTCTCCTCTTCTTCCTGCAGACTGGCATGGGGTCGCTTGAGGGGTGCAAAGCGATCAGATTTGGTTTGACCCGATCGACGAATTGCAACCAAGCAAGATTCTTGGGGAGCTGTTGGAGGGGAATCTGCCCCTCTGGCCGAAACTGTTTCGTTCGAATCGGCTTAGGAAGGAGGGAGGCTCCAGCTTGCTCTGTGGCTGGAGCTTCTTGTGCCTACAGGTAAAATGGGTAATTCGATTCGTGGATGGCGGGAATAGCCGATGCAATGGGGGTCGGAATCTTTGTCAGAAATGTCAAGCACGTCAACTATTGGACGAAACTCAGCGGTTTGTGTTTCCCTAACTACGTACACCCTCATTCTCAGTCTGTGCACAATCGCCACATGAACATGCCAGCTGTAATGACATCAATGCGTCCAACATGGTCCAAGAACATACGCTGTGAGCACATTTGCCGTACTCAGCCGTACGGAAAACTAATTGTAAGTTTACATACCGTTGTTTACCGTTCCCCGGGAGTGCGTTTGCCCGCCACCTACCTAGAGTTCGGCTCCAAGCACCAGATCGCTAGGGTCCAAGCAACAGTACGCACTGTAGCCAGGGCTCCCAATTGTGCGTAGACTGAGAATGAGGGTGTACAGTGAAAATAATCGTGTGGTTAGGTTACTGCCTTGCCCAGCGACGCTCTGGGCCAAAAGCTTTAGGAAATATCACGGAACCTAAGACGGCCTCCTTCAACGTTTCAGGAATCAGTACCCTTCCGGGAAGGCAAGGCCGTTTCCTTACGGCCAGGTCTCGGCGAAGACCACAGCACTCGTAACGATGTATCGATGAAGATCGGATGTCTCCTTTGCACCATCAACCACGAGTCGTCCACCCCACGGCGTGAATTCGATCCGAGCCACGCAACTCCCTCCGTCCGTCGTCAGCCTCATCCAGGCCCATGGCGCGCTATCCGCGTTCGCCAGTGGTAGGTGAGGGGGTGAATGTGCTCAGAAACGGCCGGGGGAGCGCAGAATGCGCTGTAGTACTGTCACAGTACAGGATGACCCTACGCAGATTACAGAGCAGGTGCGAGCAGCGTATGGGGACGCCTTACCCGACCGGGGCTGGTACTTAGCCCTTGCGTTCATTTCAATTCGCTCACCGGTAATTAAGAGCGTACACGGTGCACAGAGGCAGATGACGTCAGGGATGACGTTCACGCGGAGGATTCAAGGCCTTCGGAATTCCTCATTGGCCAATCGTCGCACCGTATTGGTGGCTGCTCCCTTAGGCTTGGCCAGGAAGGCCAGTCGAACCGACAGGCTCGACGTGCGATCTAAGAATCTAAGATCCTCACAGCGGGCCAATACCGAGGTGAATTGAGGCGCAACAGTGCGCCTGGCTGTGCCATGTCAGGGTAATTGATGGCGGCCACGTCAGAGTAGTACCACTGTACCTTCGATGCTTGACTTCCGCTCTACTGTATCCCATGCCATAGCGCGCCTGAGAGCGAGTGAGTCTGAGACGCCGAATCCCACGGCGGTGCCGATGGAGATAAAGCTGCGGGCTTCAACGCAATCTTCAGCTTATTCGTTCTACTCTCTTCAAGAGTTTAAGAGCCGTTCAAGTTTCTTCCGACGCCTACAGGCACCACCGCGCTCGGTGCTTGCAGCTGGTTGAAACGCGCATATTAGAATCGCTTTTGAGACTTGCGCATCATTTCTCAATGGCGACCACCAAGCTTATCCGACCGACCCTTGATGTTTCCTCCCGGCAATTGCCGGCCGTGCTCGCCACGAGTCACACGGACCAGGTTCCTTTCGCGCGACGCGAGCGCGACAGCCGCGCGGATCTCGATCTGCTCGCGCTGGAAGGCCGGCTCTCGCTGCTCGACGCGCAGCGCGAATTGAATGCGATCCGCTGCGAACAGTTTGTTACCATGTTACAGTCGTTCCTCAGCGAGGGGCAGAGCGGCGGTGACGATTTGCGAGATGACTGGGAGTCGGGCAGAGGAAGGAGGACGGCGTCTCGTTACAGTCACAGCAACGCAGCAGCGGCAGCGGGGCGGAGCGACATCCCTCGCGCGCATTCAGCGCCAGTGGAGGTCGACGGCCAGAGATTGCCGCGCAGCACCCGCCGCAGCAGCAGCAATAGCGGTCGCAGCGCCAGGAGACAAGTGATGGCCGCTAACCGCCTGACGCGGTGGGCCTCGTGCGAGCAGCGCTGGAATGGCGGCGACGACGAGTGGTGAAGCCGCCTGCGCTGCCCGTGCCTTTTGATCGTGTCCCCTATTGCGACGCCGCAGCGCGCGCAGCTGTACATAACTCGCTCCACACGCCGTGCTTGGCGTTTTTTGACAGTATTTTTCCAGCATCGATGTTGCTGAATGCTGAGAATGGCTGTATGTCATTATTAGTGTGATTTGATTCTTTGAAACGTGCTTCATGGGCCATTTAGTGGCAAACCAAGAGTTGGGGGGAACAAGCAGTCTTGATATGCAAAAGTACAATCAATGTATCTTAGCACCTAAGCATCCGAGAACCATTGCTGGCGCTATCCCCCTTTGCTGTGAAACGTGTCTTGGGTGGCTGCTATCAGGCTGTGTGCTCCACTGCCACCCCTAATCTTGCATGCATGCAAACGGATTTGTGAACACAAAAGTTCCACCTGCCATGATGCGGAGAGGAGGGTTGCCTGACGTTCAAAACTGAGGTACGGCATGTAAAGTAGCATTGCGTGACGTACAATATGAACACGGCTAATGGTGTGAACCCTCTCCCCTGTACATGCACCATCCACGCCACGGTTATCACACGCATCAGCTGAGCTCCCCAGTGAAGAAGCTCGCCACATCGGGATTGTCACTCTCCCTGAGCTCCCCCGGTGGCCCCACCTCCACCACGCGGCCCTGGCTGAGCAGTGCGGTGACGTCGGCCACGCGTTCGATCTGCGGCATGCTGTGCGACACCAGCACCACCGTCAGCCCCTCCTCGCGCAGCAGCCGCTCGATCGTCTCCTCCACCTTGCGCGTCGCCGTGGGGTCCAGTGAGCTCGTCGGCTCGTCCAGCAGGAGAACCTGGGGGGGAGATGGTGAGGGGAGGGGAAGGGGGGAGGGTGGGTGGCGCGCAATGGAGGTAACTTTTGAGTCGGCTCGTGCAGCAGCAGCACCTGCGGGGCGTTGGCAAGGGCGTGAGCAACGGATGTGAGTTTTGGGAATTCTCACAATGATAGCTGCATGCAATAACGGGTTGAGCGAGCTGGCGGGTAACAATCCAGCACAGCAGCACCTGAGGGGAGTTGGCGAGCGCGCGGGCGATGGACACGCGCTGCGCCTCGCCGCCTGACAGCTCGTGGGCTTGGCGGTGCAGGAAGGCGGAGGAGGGGTCGAGGCCCGCGCGCAGCAGCAGGCTCTGCTGCTCCTCCACCCCCACCGCCACCCCCTGCAGCCCCGGCCCGTACCTCACGTTGTCCGCCACCGTGCCTGGGAGAGGGGCGAGCAGGCCAGAGGTTGGGGCAGCGGAATGGTGGGGCAGAGGGGGATGATGTTGGGGCATAGGGCAATGGATGCTTGTTGATTGGGGACCAGAAACGACGGGGTCCAAATGGGAAGGGAAAGAGTGTGATGAGGCTGGAAAGCGAGCAGTACGGGAGAGGGCAGGGCAGAGCAAGGCGACAAAGGGAAGGGGACGAGAGCAAGGGAAGGCGAGAAGGGTGGTATGAGAGGAAGGGCAGAGGGGTGGGTGGGGAAAGTGGGAAGTACAGCTGGGGGGTGGGGATGGGGCGGGGCGGGGGCTGACCAGGGAAGAGGTGCGGGCTCTGGAACACCATGCCCACGCGCCGCCTCAGCTGCTGCACGTCCATGGTGGTGACGTCACAGCCGTCCACCCACACGGTGCCACGTGTCGGCTCCCACAGGCGGTTGATGGCGCGCAGCAGCGTGGACTTGCCGCTCCCCGAGGGCCCGATCAGCCCGAACAGCTGCCCGCGCGCCACGCGCAGCGCCACGCCGTCCAGAATCAGCGCGCCCGTGCTCGCCGCCCTCCGCGTCAACCCGCGGATCTCTATCTTCGGGGGGGCCGCCGCCTGGCGGGGGGAGGTGGCGAGGGGCGTGGAGGGGGGGGCGGAGGGGAGGAGCATGGGAGGGGAATGGGAGAAGGAGGGTGGGACGGAGGTGGGAGAGGGAGGAATGGAATGGGAGGGGCATTTCAGGACCGGGGAGGAAATGTGGCGGCGACGAGTGAGGAGGACGGGAGGTCGAGGAGGGCCATGGCCGTACTAGGTGCTGGAGACGGGGAACCATGCGTGGCGCACGGGGAAGCATGCGCGCACGGGGAAGCATGCGCGCGAAGCAAGAGACAGAAGTGGAATGCGAGCGAGAGCAACGAAGCAGCTGCCGGCCCAGCGTGCGACTACCTCACACCGTGCATGCGATCGCTGCCGGCCGTGCGACTGTCGCATTCGCTGCAAGGAGTCGCAATGCCGTCGGGAATCGTCCGCGTCGCTCAGATGCGGGCACCGCGACTCACGGGCGCACCACTGCCGCCATCCCAGCCGTCCACTCGCGCGCGCGGCGCTCGCGCTGAGGAGGTGCGGCTGCCGCGCGACTGCTGGCAGCGGGCTGCGCGCGCCCGCGACGCCGCCGCTCATCGCGCGCCGGTGGCGGGGCGCGGAGCTCGGCGGCGGCTGCCGCTGCGAGAGTCCAGACTTGAGGGCGGGAGGCGGGAGCAACGGGCGAGAAGACAGGCGCGATGGATAGAGGGGGAGGGGGGGGGATGTGGAGGACGCGCGAGGCGCGGATGGCGAATCGACCGCAATGAGCGGAGGCAGTGACGTCGCGAGAGCGCGGGACGCGAGAGTGAGGTACGGAACAGGTGCGACGGATAGCTGGCTCTCTGGTGGCAATGAAACATGTTTGGTTCGGAGGCAGCAATGTGGGAAAGCAGGCCCGTTATGAACAGCTCTGCTACGCTACACAGTTTGTGTTTTGTTATCGCATGCATATGATTTGAATGACATGACGTAAGATTCGAAGAACGAGGGCAGATACTTGTCAGTGGATTGCACATCTTGCCTTGCCTGCATTTGTTTCATTTCTATTTTCTCTACGTGATCATACCTGGGTTACTAATACCGAGTATCAGTTGTTGAATGGAACACGCAAGGCTGCAAACGAGTCACAAGCGAGCCACAAGTTAGCCACAAGCGACGCCGCGGTACATGCGGCGGCCATGGATGCGGCGCGTGGCGCTCGAGTCCGCCTAGCGCCGCCAGGCAGATCGCATCGCGGCGAAAGCGGCGGCGCGAAGCCAGGCCGCGAGAGCGCGCGCGAGCGGGAGTCGCGCGAGCGGGAGGCGCGGCGGCAGCAGCTGCAGCGGTCGCTGGACGAGGCGCAGAAGCCGCTCGCCGCCGCCCTCGCCGTCGCCTGGAAAGGTGCCGCCTCCGCCCCGCTTCCCCGCGCTCTTCCCCTTCCCCTTCTCGTTCCCGTTCCCGCTCCCCTTCCCTTCGCCTCGCGCTGCCCGTACCTCGCCCTTCCTCACACGGGCTGTAGCGAGTAGCGGGAGACGCAAAGGGTAGAGACGAAGGACGGGGAAGGGAGTCTAGGGGAGGAGCGTGGGGAGCAGGACACGTGGTTGGTGGTCTGGGAGGCGCCCCTCTGCTCTGCTCCTCCCCTCTGGCTTCACCTCTGCCTGTCCCCCACCCGCGTTCCTCCTCTCCGTCTCTCCCGCTCTCGTCAATGCTGAATTTTCACGCGCAGTGCCGCACTCCATCACATGTCGCTTCTGAATGCACGATGGCATGGTATGGCATGGTGGCATGGTATGGCATGGTCCATGGTGCATTGGGGACGGGTGCATGCTGCATGGGTGCATGGGTGCATGGGTGCATGGGTGCATGGGTGCATGGGTGCATGGGTGCATGGGTGCATGGGTGCATGGGTGCATGGGTGCATGCCAGCAGGACCTTATCCTCCAACCACCACCACTGCACGTCCTGCCACCAATGGCAACTGTGCTGCTGCCCCGTGTCAGGGAGCAGCCCCATGGCAGGACACGTGGCAGTGGCAGTGGGCGTCTCAAGACCCTGCGCTGCACAACCAGCTCCTACGTGGCGTGCAGCGATTGCTCGATTTCGTGGCGGCCAATGAAATGCCTCTCTGGAGTGACGTGGCATGCAGGCGGGCAGTGAAGGTGAGAGGGGCGGACAGTGAAGGTGAGAGGGGCGGACAGTGAAGGTGAGAGGGGCGGTTGCTAGTACTGGCATGGAGTGCTGGCATTTCCCTCAATGTGTTCTCTACATCCAGATCTCAGTCTGCCACGCTGCTCCCTTCCCCACGTCTCCTTCTTACCTGCTCCCCTTCTCCTCCTCATTGCTCCCCCTCTCCTCCCTCCCACTCCCCCCTTTCCACCCAGTCGCTCTACGAGGCATCGTGTGCAGCGCTGCTGCACCTGCTGGCGTTCAACGCCCCGCCAGCGCTCTCCCTTCCCGCCACTCCCCCTCTTCCCCCCTCCCACTCCCCCCTTCCCCCCCCAGTCGCTCTACGAAGCATCTGGTGCGGCGCTGCTGCACCTGCTGGCGTTCAACGCGCCACCAGCGCTGCAGTCGGTGCGGCAGGCAGCGGTGCGCGTGTGTGCGCGCATGGCCACTGCGGGGGGGCGCTGGTGGCGGGAGAGTGCCACGGGCGCCATGCTGCTCGCCCTCTCACCCTATGTTGATGCGCCGGGTGAGGAGGGGGAGGAGGGTGATGGGGGTGAGGGGGATGATGGGGGTGGTGGAGGAGGAGGGTGACGGGGGTGATGGGGTTGATGGGAGTGAGCGGGTTGAGGCGGGTCGTGGGAGGGGTGGGCACTCCCATATTGATTGTGCAGCAGTGAAGAGATGAGGCGGTGGGTGTGAGGTGCACGCGCCAACACCTCACCTCTGCACACTCATCTGCACCTCTGAGGCGATGGGGTTGATCGGTTGCACCTGGCTGCATGCACGCACGCCCACTAGCCATGCCATGCCGCTGTGCTGCATCTCATGGCATGGCGTGCCCCGCTGCTCTGCTTCATGTTTCACCCTTGTGCCGTCCTTGTGACCCCTGCTCTGCTCTGCACTGCTGCTATGCGTCTCGCCTCACCTCACCCGCACAGCCCGATGGACCCCTCTTTCCATGCCCCTCATTTTGTTGTCCCTCCCCCACCCCATATTCTGCCCTGCTCCCCTGCCCCCTGCTCACCCCGTTCAACTCAACTTAACTCAACTTACCTCCGCCCTCTCCTCCCCTCCTCACCCATATTGCCTTGCACCCCATGTGCCCCGTGCACCCTGCATGCCCCGTGCACCCTGCATGCCCCGTGCACCCCGTGTGACACCAGACGACCATGTGATGCTGGACGCATGCACTGCCCTCGCTGCCTCGCTCCTCGCCCTGCCACCACAACCCCCTTTCCGCCCTCTCCTCCACGCCCCCATTCCCGCCCTCCCCTCCTCCCTCCTCGCACCCCCTCCCACCGCGCTCCCCGCTCCCTCTCCATCCGCCTCCCCCCTCGCCCTGCCCCTCGCCACCCTCACCCCCCCCTTGCTCGCCGCGCTGTGGCGTCTCCATCTCTCACGCTCCGCGCCTTCTCTCGGCACTCATGGTCCAGAGGGTGGCAAAGTTAGCAAGGAGAGCAAGAGCGGCAAGGGCGACAAGGGCAGGGATGGGGGAGGCGCGAGGAGGGGAGGAGTGGTGGCGCGGGCAGCTGATTGGCTGTGGGGGCCTGCAGGCACGGGTGATGGGAGGGGCGGGGTTGTGGTGCATGCTCACGCCAGTGCTGCTTCTGGTGGTAGGGAGGCGTGTGGAGGAGTGGCAGGCGCGGAGGGAGGGTCGAGGCAGCACAGCATCACATGCAGTAGCGCACCCACGGATAGCACCACCAGACAAAGCAGCAGCAACAGCAGCAGTGACGGCGGCAACAGCTGCAACAGCAGTGGCGAGCGTATTGCCCCATGGCAGGGCAGGCAGGCAGCAGCGGTGGCAGCGGTGCTGCACGTGCTGGTGCTGCTGGTGCAGCGCTGGCCGGCAGGTGGCAGGGAGGTGAAGAGGGAGGTGCTGCGCTGCTCGCCACACCTCTCAGGCAGAAGAGGACGCATGGCAGAGCTGGTGGGCATGGCCCTGCCGCATGGGGCGCACATGGATGGCTCTGCTGCTGCTGTGGCGGAAGCCGCGCTGAGCCTTCTCACTGCCATGGGTGAGTGGGCCGTGTGACTGCTTCCCACTCTTATGCTTTCTTTGTTTCTAGGCAAAATGGATTGATGTGGGTGCACCCACCCCATGTGCATCTAGGCATGATTCAGCAAATGACTTACTTGTCTGAGTACCACCATAATTTCTACTAATCCCCGTGCACCAACCCACCCCCTTTCCTCGCAGCGCAGGACCCGACCTTCTGCCACCTGCTGCTCCACCCGACCTTCCGCCTCCTCCCCTCTCTCACCCGCCACCTCTCACCCGCGGCCTCATCACACTCCTCTTCCCCCTCCTCCTGCCTCGCCGCCTGTCCCCACTGCCGCTCTGTTGCCCTCTCGCTTCTGCGAGCACTCGCTGTATGCGTCTTCCTTCCACGTGCCTCCCTTGACATGCACGTCCCTTGTTGGCTCATCCCTCCTCGTCCATCGAGTATTCATCGCGTGCATGCGTCGCATGCATGCTGCCCTCGCTCCAACCCTTTTCCCCTACGCTCTCCCTCCCGCCTCCCCCCTGTTTCCTCCTCATGCCCCATTGTACCTGTGTGCAGAGCCACCCATCGTTTGCTGCTGCCGCGCTTTGCAGCACCACCACTGCTGCACCATCGCCTCTCACCCCGCTCCTCACTTTGGCCCTGCAAGCAGCCGTCACACCGCTCCCCCTGACCACCTGCCACTGCCCCCACCCGCCCTCCCTCCGCCTCATCTCATCCTCTTCCTCACCTGCCAGCTCAGCACGGGATGACTCAGCAGCCAGCCACGTGGCAGCATCTGCCTGGCAGGCCGCAGCGAGCCTCCTGCGCTGGCTGGGCGGCCATTATGACCCGGCCGTGCTGCGGGCAGCAGGCTTGTCCGCATCTGTGTTGATGCGTGCACTGCTGGGTGGTGGGGTGGATGGACGGCCAGGATGCATCCAGAACAGCAGTGAAGAGCAGATGGGCAGTGGGGGGAGTGAATGCAGGGCGGATGGTGGGGAGGAGCAGGTGGGAGGGTCGCAAGCTGTCATGGTGGCAGCGTGGGAGGCAGTGAGGTGGATGGCAGCATTCTGCCACGTGGCAGTGTGTGACTCAGAAGGGGGTGTGACTTTAGTGAGGGCCAAGGAGGCAGGAGACAGGGCTGGTGGGAAGGGGGGCGAGAGCGAGCGCAGGGAAGGAGCGGGCGGCGGTGGCGGGGGGCGAGGAGGTGGAGGGAGGAGGGCAGGGGATGCAGATGGGCACGCAGGCATGGAGGCAGTGGCAGCGTTGGCATGGTGAGCGGCCAGGGGCACGAGCAAACAGCAATGCGGTGCGGGTGTGATGGGCATGCATGCTGTGTGGTGGTGAGTGCAGCGTGGTGGCAGAGGCGTGTGTGGGTGGGTGGGCTCATGGGTTCTGCCGCTAGTGCGTGCCAGCACGTGCTCTTAAAGCCAAGTGGCCACCGCTTGCCTGCTTGTGTGCTTGTCCACCCAGACACACATGTCTTAGCAACTTCTTATGTATCTCCTTCACAGCCCTCTGCTAATTAACTTGCCAATTTTCTCCCCGCAACCCCTTCCCCATCGTTACTGCAGCACTCACCTGGTCGCGCTCCTCACTCCCTCCTCCCATGCCACACCTCACCCCGCTGCTCCCTCCACTGCACCATCGCCATCGCCCCCACCCACCTCCCCCCTCCACCCTGCCACAGCCCACGCCCTGCTCGCCGCACTGCTCGCGCTGCTCTCCTCGCCTTGCGCCGCCCTCGCCTCTCTCTCCCACACCGCCCTCTCCCGCGCGCTCTCACCACCCACAATCCGCCCTGCCGCGTCGCGTGAGGCGTGGGCCACAGGGGAGGGCGGGAGAGAGGGTGGTGAGCGTGCAGCAAGTGGTGGTGCACCCAGTGCCCACCACAACGACCGTATGGCAGCAGAAGACGCAGGTAGCAGCGGCATTAACAGCAGCCCAGGGTGCACCCCACAGCGCAGGGCATGGGAGGGTTGCCACGAGCCCAGCCTGAGGGGCCTGGCAGCCTCTGCGGTGCGCCAGGCTGCCCTGGCGTGCTGCCTCTGCTCGCGCTCCGCCCCTCGTCACTCCTCTGCACCGCTGCTCACCGCTGAAATGCCGCGGCAGGAGGTGGAAGCTGCCTCGAAGCTGCTGGTGGTGGCAGCGCTGGCGTGTGACGGGCGGGGAGGGGATGCGGTGCGGGCCGAGGGGGGCGTGCAAGCGGTGGGACTGGTGGTAGCGGCGCGCGTGGCCCTGTGGACCAAATGGGGCGCTGGGGAGGCGCAGGGGCAGGGGGAGGGGCAGGGGGAGGCGGAGCGAGACAGGGGGGAGGTGAGGGTATGTGGTGATGATGGGAGGAAGGGCGAGAGCGGAGGGCGAGAGCAGGGTGGTGGGGAGGATGAGTGGGGATGGGATGAGGGCAATGAGGCGTGGTGGGGAGAGGGGGAGCTGGAGGGAGGGGAGGACGAGATGATGGGAGTGATGGCGGGCGGGGAAGGCAGTGAGGGCAGTAGGAAGGCCAGTGGGGAGGAGGGTGCTGACGTCATGCTGCTGGTCGATGAGAGGCCGGACATACCACATGCACCATACTGTGCTGACCCTACAGCATGGCAGGGTGCTGACATCATACTGTTCTCTGCCCTCACAGCCCTTCTCATCCTCCTGCACTCCGCACAGTCGCTACCATCCCTCCCCTCGTCCCCTCTCTCCCCCCAATCCTCCCTGCCGGCCCTCTCAACCACAGCTCTGCCACCGGAGTCGCTGTCACTCACGCCCCCCTGCGTGCTCCTCCCTGAAAACCTCATCCTCGCCCTCACTCGTCTCCTCCATCCCGCATCGCCTGCTGGTATGCGCTGCCTCGCTGCTCGCTGCCTCTCGCTCTGCCGCTCCCTGCCCCACCCTCCACCGCCCTCCGCTGCACTGCCTGCTGCTGCCAAACAACCCTCTCAGCAGCAGCCGTCTCATCGCCGTCCCTCCCACCACCTGCCCGCCACACACTGTGACCCCCCTCCACTGGGAGTGCCCTCGGCTGTGGGTCGTGACATCCGTTCTGCCCTAGCCTATCTCTCCCCTTCAAACACTCCATCCCCCTCCGCCTCCTCCTCTCCCACCCATGCCTCACACGCTCACTTCACCCCGCTCACATCCACCTCTGAAAACCCCAAGGCGCAAGTCGCATTCGTCCTGACACACCCCTCTGCACCCACTTCCACCGCTGCCACCTCCCCACTGCGAGTGGTGGCACATGCAGCAATCATCGCTGCCCGCTGCCCCGCCCTCCTCTCGCCCCTCACCTCCCCCTCTGCCCCTGCCCGCCCCTCCCCGCCTGCCCCCCCTCATAGCACCCCCTCTCTTCTCGATAAGGGAAAGGACGAGGGGGTGAGTGGGCAAGGGATGGCAAGGGGGGTAGGGGAGGGGGCAGAGGGAGAGGAGGGGGTGGTGAGGGAGGTGCGGCTGGGGAGGGGCGTGAGTGGCGAGACGTTCAGTCAGCTCCTGGAGTATATATACACGGGACAGGTGTCGCTCTCCCATTGGCCGTCCAAGGATCTGGTGCAGCTGGCTAAGAAGTGCCGATTGGATGGGCTCGTTGCACTCCTTCGCTGTGATTGGCCGATCTGGGGCCGGGATGATGCATTGGGTTGTGATCTGACGTCAGCACTTGGTCCTGCTGGACTGCCTTGGAGGTGTGAGGCATGGCAGTATGGGGCATTGCGGCATGGGGCATGGCAGTATGGGGTATGGCGGCATGGGGTATGGCGGCATGGGGTATGGCGGCATGGGGTATGGCGGCATGGTAGCATGGTGTGGGATGGGCCCACCACTGCGCATGTGGCTCAGCGGCACGTGGCAGCATGCACTCGCAGTCTCCCCACGTCCAGCAGTGGCGTTCATGCCCTCTGCCTCTGCCCACTCATGCTGCAGCCACTCATCGTCGTGTCTCGCCACCTTGTCTCACTCACCCCTGTCCCCCTCTGTGCCTGCCCCCGCCCATGCCTCCGAACCCCACAGCGACATTGTGCTCTGTGTGCCGTGCGCGCGCCACGCTCCCCCCTCCCCCGCGCATCAACCGCCTGCAAGCCCCAGCAGCCGTGGGGAAGAGGTGCAGCATGACGCATGCGGAGGGCCAGAAGAGGAGGGCAGTGGCGAGGGGGAGGGCGGGCAGGGGGGCGTGTGGCGGTGTGTGCGGGTGGCGGCGCACCGCTGTGTGCTGGGGGCGCGCAGCCAGTACCTGCACGCCCTGCTGCACTGCGGCATGCGTGAAAGGTGCGGTGTGGGGAGGGAAGGGGGAAGGGGAGGGAAGGGGGGAAAGGGAACGGGATAGGCAATTGGGGGAAGTCAGGGGATGGAAAATGGGAAAGGCAGATGTGAAAGGGACGGAGTGACGCTCTCACTGCATGCGAGTCCCCATGCTGCGCCTACCCTCTTGTGTTGTCATTTATCAACCTCTTGTCGACTCATTTGATCCACATTCCTGCCTTCAACTCCCCAACTATCTCTCTCTGTGTCATGCCTGCCTTACAGCTCTCAGCACGAGGTGCATCTACCAGCGCTGCCTCTACCAGCGCTCATCGCTCTCCTGCGCTTCCTCTACTCCGCCCGCGTCTCCTTCCTCCCCCTCCCGCTCCCTCCCCATGCCACCTTCACTCCCACCAACCTCAACCACCCTCACGCCCCCACTGCTGCTGCGAGCCCAAGCGGGCATCACAGCGCCCCTGTGCCGCTCTCCTCCGTGAACCTGCCGCTGCTAACGCTCTCCACTCGTCTGCTCTCCGCAGTGCACCTCGCATCGCTGGCCCACCAGTGGATGCTGCCCGCCCTGCACCATGCTGCCCTCTGCTACGTGGCAGCGCGCCTTCGCGCCACGTGGCATGACCCCGTCAGCAGGGACCCCGGTTTTGGTGCTGCTGACTGCAGTGATGGCAGTAGTAGCAGGGGAACGGCTGCTACCACCCTGGATTGGGCCACGGAGGGCCCAGTGGCACCGTGGGCGGCAGCGGATGCGGTGGTGCGGGTGGCATGGGCGGCGGGGCAGTGGGAGATGGTGGGCGAGGCAGTGAGCAGCCTGGCGCCGTGGTACCCTGCCATGCGCCGCACCTCCTGCCTGCACCGCCTCCCACCGCAGGTGCAGAGCGCTGTGAGGGAGGCGCACGTGCGATTGCTCACCGCACGCCCTTGACGCTTCCTGCGTGCAAGCAACTTGCTTGCTTGCGACCTTTCGAGCTGGCTTCTACGCATCTTCCTCAAACGAGCCGGGGAGTTCGGTGGGCAAGCCGGCGCTGCTGAGCTGAGACGCAGCAGGGTGGTGGAGGGAAGGCTGTGTGGGTGGCTGTAGGATGAACCTCAATGTGACGACAACGACAAGCTTCTTGTGTGGGGAGCACACTGGAGGATTAAGTGACGGTAGGAAGATAGCATACGGTACTTGTCAAATGCTCAGCTGCATCACCGCATCAGTTCCATATGGTGCTCTGCGTGTTCATTGTTTTACAGCAGATGGCCAAGTGAGATCTACGGTATTCAGAGAGCCTTCTTAAAATCGGAGTCCCAAACAGCCCCAAACTGCCTCAAAGTTTCTAACTTTTGGTTGGGTGTTGTTGGAAACAATTAATTTAAGCGCCTCTGTCGTGTCGAAACACCAAGTCACAAGTGAAGCGAAGTATATCGAAGCACCGGCGAGTCAACCCTTGGAGGTTGAGCAGTTGCTAGAGGTTACGCGAAAGTCAAAGGTCAGCGACCTTTGACCTGACAAGTACAGCGCGACAGCAAGGACACACAACTGACTCGTTACAGAGCAGTTGCCCGAGTCGTCACTGTATCGAACCGCAACAGCAACAGTAAAACAGTTATTAGCTATAACCTTTGATTTTCCCTTGTACTCTTATAAAAGCTTGTATCTCCTTGATTTTAATCAATCTACGTTGCCCTCACATTCTAGCGCAAGGTGGTTCAATATCCTCATTAAAACGCTTCCGCTATTACATCAGACCTACCAGGAGTTTTAGTCCTGCAAAGATCCTAGGGGGCTTTCTCAGCCCAACATGGTATGAGAGCAGTCAGGACAAGTTCTACTATCAAGACACCTACAACATCAGAAGGCATGGCTACTCAGAAGGAAAGGAGTTCCTCTAATGGTTCTCCCGGCACTACTCCTACTCCACCTCCTGCCTCTGGCCTACAGACAGAGGAGGGTACGGCAACAAGACCAAGGGCAACGTCTACCGAGACTCCCGCGAATCAACCTGCAGGCTTCGACCAAAACATGATGGAGAAGTTCTTCTCCTTCATGTCCTTCTATGAGCAACACCAGCAATCGGCACCTGCGCAGTCAAACAACAGCAACAACAACAACGAAGTGACACCCATGAGTCTCGACAGCTCATCATACGCACACGGAAATCAGCAACAGCAGCCTACCTTTGCTCCGTACGAGCCCCAGGGCGGCTCCATCAGCTTCACGCCACACCCACAGCCTTCAGCTGGACAAGAGAAAACGCTGGACGCACTCCAAGTCCAGTCACAATTCGCGCATGTCTTAAAACTGCAGACGTCAAGACCGTTCGACGGGAAGGGCTTCTTCACCTGGTCATTCGAGTTTGAGCTGATGATGGAAGGCGCGCAGATACTTGGCTTCTTCGACGGGTCCCTTCCATACCCAACAAATGGCACGCAATACGACAAGCAGCAATACACGTATCAGTCAATGATGGCTTATACGAAACTACTGAGGAACATCACTCCGAATCAGCAGCAGAACATTCGGTCTTACCGGGGATACGGCAACTCCGCCGAGCTCGCGTACAACCACTTGAAGAACCTGTATCAAGCAACAGACAGCGTTAATCAGAGTCGGCTAATGGCGCAATTGACAATGGTCGAAATGAAACTGGGCGAAAAAGGGATGGCTTATATCAGTCGCTGTCGCGAGTTGCGCGACAAGCTCCTTCGATGCGGAGGGTCGATATCAGAAGACGCCTTCGTCACAGTCGTCATCGGCGGTCTTGGTCCTCATTGGCGGTCCACTTGCGCCATACTCTGAGCTCACGGAAAAATCTCCGAAGCAGCCCTTTGCGCCGAAATTCACGCCGAACAGCAAGACATGGACCTGCAAGAAGAAAGACACAAGAAGAAAACGTCAGCACCTGAATTCGCTTTCCACACTCAACGGCGCTACAACAACAACTACCGACAGAACAAGAACCAAGGACAGCAACACGTACCTCCATTTTGCCACCTCTGCAAGACGTCAGGGCACCCGCGCACACACTGCCCGAATCGACAGCAGTCAACACCGCCGCAACGTCAACTTCGTCCATCAAGCAGCCAAGTAGCGCCCACGCAAGCGAACCCTACAAGTCAACCGCAGCCTTCAACAACATCAACGGGACAACCTGCACAAGGAGCAAGAAACATCGTCAGCTGCATGGCAAGATTGACCGACTCCTGCATCACCGAGTCACCACCGCACTACTCACCAGAAGAACAACTGGACAACAGTACGCCTCGCCGCGAGTCACTTCAACCAAACCCGCCGTATGCAGCTATCGCCCAAAGCGAACCGTCCGGAAAGGACACTTGGTTCTTGGACAGTTGTTGTGGACAGCACATGTGCTCCTCGGGTCAGTTCGTTCAACGGGAATATCAACTCCAACGCGAAGTCGTCATCACCGTCGCCAACAACCAGAACCTGCGCACACGACGTCAAAGAGTAGTTCAGCTACAGTCACGAGAAACAAACGTTATACTGCAGATGTCGAAGGTCTTAATAGCAGAAGGACTCGGCTACAACTTACTGAGCGTCAGTCAGTTGATGGCGAAAGGCATTCACCTCGAAGCAGACAGCACCACTCAGGAGTTCAAGTTGTACCACGGGAGAGGAGGTCTCTACATCGGCAAGGCAGTCCTGAAAAACAACGTCTTTGTCATCGACTTCGTTCCAGATCTCGGCACCGCCGACAGCGACGGAATTGTGACCTTCACCTCCTGGACACACCCTCCGGATCTTGACCCAGACTTCAGCTCCGGCGGCTTCTGGCATTCCCACACGATACCTGAGGCAGAACGAACAAGAGCGTTAGCAACAATTCAACAATCGGCAGCAGCAGAAACAACATCGGCAGCAGCAGAAACAACATCGGCAGCAGCAGAAACAACATCGGCAGCAGCAGAAACAACATCGGCAGCAGCAGAGACAACATCGGCAGCAGCAGAGACAGCATCGACAGCAGCAGAGACAACATCGGCAGCAGCAGAAACAACGACAGCAACAGTAGAAGCGTCAACACCAATCGCTGACTCTTCAACACCATCGGTCTTCATCAACGATTCGCCACCAACACTCAAGCAACAACTGACTCCAACTCAACGTGAAGTCCATCAAAGCCCCAACTTCACCGCCAGCTTCTACTCCAACTCCGACATGTATCAACGCTCACCCGGACATCGCGCCACCCAAGGAACCTGGAACACAAGGATGGGACACCCAAGCAACACAGTATTCAACAACACGATAAGGGCAGGCGTGCTCGACAAAGACTCTCTTCTTCTAACCGACGGCAGAGAGCTACAACGAGCCAGAGGAACATGCTTTACCTGCCCCAAAGCTGACTTACCGCATCAACCATTCGCCTCTCACCACAATCCAAGCGCACCAGCTTACGCGCCACTCGAGAAGGTGTACAGCGACATCCTGTACAATCGCGAACCTGGACAAAACACGTGCAACTACGTCATCACGTTCATTGATGTCGCCACGCGCTACGTTTGGCATCTCAACCTTCCTAGTCGCGACATGGCCTTCGAGGCTTTCGTCACCTGGCTTCCAGTAGCAGAACGAGAATCAGGAGTGAAGCTGAAAAGCTTCCAGTCAGACGGAGGAGGAGAATACGCGTCACAAAGGTTCAAACATTACCTGGCAGAAAGAGGAATCAAGAGGCTCATCTCCCTTCCCTACGCCCATCAACAGCAGGGTGTAGCAGAAAGGATGAACAGGACCCTCCAGAACACCATGCGCAAGCTGCTACGTGGCATGCACCTACCCAACCACCAGTGGCCCGAAGCAATGGACCACGCTGTGATGCTGCACAACTTGCTCTCGTCATCATCGTTCCTGAACAACGCATCACCGCATCTGCTGTGGACAGGAAAATTGGGCAGCATGGTACAGTACCGACCCCCATCTGCACGAGCCGGCCGATTTTCCCAACGAGCACAGTGGGGACTACACCTGGGCATCGAAAAGCATTACAACGCATGGAAGATTTTCGACATCGAGACAAAGGAAACAGTGGCAGCACGTGATGTCATCTTCTACGAAGGACTCACCCTCCGATACTACCTCGCCAACTTGCAAGAAGGAAACCCCGACCGCACCGATGGCTTTCTTGGCACCCGAGCCTTCGCCTCGGCAGAAGACGAAGCTGACTGGGACGAGCAGAACGTGGAAGGAGCCTCGGAAGCAGCCGGACCTCTCCCCTACTGCTCAGTCGACGTCCCGATGGACGACGAAAATCCTCGCAAAAGCATCAACGCCGAAGCCTACTACCACTTCGCCGACAACGGTTACGTTACACCTGCACAAGTCAACACCGACGAAGCAGAACGCATAGGACCAAACTTCAATCCCACACCAGAAACAGGAGACTAAGCAGTCTATCCCGAGGATACAACACTCCCCCGCTACACACAGAGTGGCCTCCAAATACTCGGCCTCGTCACCGCGGTTCACGGCACAGAGGTTCCTAAGGAGCCTGCGACAGTTCAACAGGCTCTGGGGGGGGAGCATAGGGAAAAATGGCGCGAAGCCATGGACAAAGAACTAAAAGCGCTAGAGGAGCGCAACACTTGGAAGGTCGTTCCCATCGGCATGGCACGAAACAAGACCATTCTCACCGGGAAATGGGTCTTCCATGTGAAGACAAAGGCAGACGGCACCATCGACAAATTTAAAGCGCGTTGGGTCGTACGCAGCTTCGACCAAGAACATGGGCGCGACTTCACCGAAGCGTTCGCACGAGTCAGCCGACACACCTCGCTGCGAATTCTCCTCGCGATTGCCGCCACGAAGAAGAAGCTGCGGCAAATCGACGTCGCCAACGCATTTCTCTACGCACCTGTCGACGCAGAAATCTTCGTCGAACTACCACACGGCTCCAACGGAGAGCCCAACAAAGTCTGTCAGCTACTCAAGTCGCTCTACGGCATCAAGCAAGCTCCGAGGCTGTGGCAACAGTACCTGCACGCACGACTCATCCGCATTGGATTCCGTCAACTACCTCACGACCAAGGCATGTACCGGCTCACAAAAGGCGCCGACAACATCCTGCTGATTGTCTACGTAGATGATCTGCTCTACATCGGCTCGATCGACGACGTCACTACCTGGTTCGAAGGGGAGCTGCAGAAGGATCTCACGCTCACGGTCTCTTCCACCGTCACACAATACCTCGGGCTCAACATTCAGGAAGAAGAGAACGCAATCCAACTCAGCACTGCGAAATACGCCGACACCATCGCCAAACGCTTCGGACTCACCCCAACCACTATCTCCACGCCATATCGCTACACGACAAGGAAGGATCGGCTCCGCTCAAGCATGCCGGCATACGCGACTACCAGAGAAAGCTGGGCTGTCTCCTCTTCGCAGCCGTCACCTGCCGTCCGGATCTATCATACTCCGCAAGTCAACTCGCCACCTACCTCAAGAAACCTGAAGCAGAACACATGGCGAAGCTCGACCGCGCCCTTCACTACCTTGTCAGCACTTCGACAATCGGCCTGACCTACCACAAGAACGCAACTACAACGCCTAAGCTAATCGGCTACGTCGACGCCAATCACGCCGGCGACTCCGACAACAGGCGCTCACGCACCGGCTACATCTATCGCTTCGAGCCTATCGGACCTATCTCCTGGCAGTCGAGCAAGCAGGAGTTAATCGCTCTCTCCTCAGCTGAAGCAGAATACATCGCACTCTGCTCAGCCACCAAGGAAGGACTGTACCTTCGCGAACTGCTGGAAGAAGCGAAGCTGGCTCAGTTACCCAGCTTCACTCTGTTCTGCGACAACCAGTCGGCAATTCGCATAGCCAACAAGAACGGTTTTGCGAACAGAACGAAACATATCGCCCTACGATACTTCTTCGTGAAGGACGAGATCGAGAAGGGGAGACTCGAACTGTCATACTGTCCCACGTCTGAGATGGCAGCTGACTACTTGACCAAGAAGCTCGGAAAGCAGAAGTTCGAGTACTGCATGCTGCTGACTGGACAGAGCCACGTCACCAGCAGCGACACTCCAGAAGCGAAGGGGAGTGTTGGAAACAATTAATTTAAGCGCCTCTGTCGTGTCGAAACACCAAGTCACAAGTGAAGCGAAGTATATCGAAGCACTGGCGAGTCAACCCTCGGAGGTTGAGCAGTTGTTAGAGGTTACGCAAAAGTCAAAGGTCAGCGACCTTTGACCTGACAAGTACAGCGCGACAGCAAGGACACACAACTGACTCGTTACAGAGCAGTTGCCCGAGTCGTCACTGTATCGAACCGCAACAGCAACAGTAAAACAGTTATTAGCTATAACCTTTGATATTCCCTTGTACTCTTATAAAAGCCTGTATCTCCTTGTTTTAATCAATCTACTTTGCCCTCATATACCAGCGCAAGGTGGTTCAAATCCTCATTAAAATGCTTCCGCTATTACATCAGACCTACCAAGAGTTTTAGTCCTGCAAAGATCCTAAGGGCCTTTCTCAGCCCAACAGGTGTGACCCTGTAGATATCGAGCTCTCCTCGCAAAATGCAGGGAAATTTTCGTCAAGCGAAATTACTGTGAGAATAGTAGGTGAAGAGTGGACTAGAGTGTCGAGTGATTTTGGTAGAGAACCCTAAAGTGTTGTACCCCTTATAGTCTACCCCACTACAGCCTACCTAACTTTATAACATACATAAATATGTTTGACACACCCCCATAGGAAAAGTGGGGGAGAACAAGGGGTCACAAGACCAGTCAAGCAAAGCAAAGCAAAGCTCAGGGTGGATCACAACGTCACCACACATTCCGAGCAAAGGTTCAAGGCCTCAAGGCCAGTTCACATGCAGCCTATATATATATATATATATATATATAGATATATAAAGGAAACAAGCAAGAGCAGATATATATTGGACATAGTACAAAGCAAGGTCAAGAGGTAAGCAAGTGAGGCTGGGTAGGCACAAGACCTAGCATCGTACAAAAGCGCTGATGATCACAAGGCTGAAGAGCCTTGGTGAAGATATCAGCAGTGTTGGCCTGAGAGGCCACGTAAGCAAGGCGCAGCTGACCACGCTGCTGCAGCTCACGAGCAAGGAAGTAGCGAAGAGCAATGTGCTTCGTTCTGTGCTCCAGTCTGTGCTCCCGACACAAGGCCAGCATGGCCTTGTTGTCTACGTACAGAACTGGAGGAGAACGAGGCGGCTCTCCAAGGTCAGTCAGCAGGTAGGTCAGCCAGCGTAACTCCTGTGCAGCCATGGCTCCTGCGTAGATCTCAGCCTCACAGCTGGAGCTGAGAACAGAGGACGAGCGAGTAGACCGTCACGAAGCAGAGCCGGAACCAAGGCTGAAGGTGTAACCCTGTGACGACCGCTGAGTAGCCAGGTCGTCAACCCAAGACGCGTCTGCGTGACCAGTGAGGACCACTCGACTCCGCCCTCCAAGCACGAGCCCCATGCCCGACGTACTGCACAAGTAGCACAACACCCTCTTCGCTGCAGCCATGTGCTCTGGTCGGTGTCTCCCAGGAGCAACATAGCGTGCCAGTATGCTAAATGGGTAGGCCAGGTCAGGTCGTGTGCAGGTCATCAGGTACATGAGACAGCCAACAAGCTCTGGGTACAGGCCACTCGGCTCTACGCACTCATCCGAAGGCAGAGCTGAGAGCGAGTGGCGAGTAGACAGAGGAGTGGACTGAGGCGAGGAGTACGTGAAGTCGAAGCGCTGAAGGACCTGCTGCACCATGTGTGACTGAGTCAGGGTAATGGTGCGCCGTGCTCTGTCCCGAGTGATCTGCAAGCCAAGATAGCTACGCAGTTCACCCAGATCTGTGCACGTGTGTCTCTACTATACTCGGACTTCACGTGGGCGAGTCCAGCAGTGTCAGCTGTAGCAAAAACCAAGTCGTCGATGTACACGAGGATGTAGAACGGCGGCAAAGAGGTGTCGGTGCGTAGAAACAGCGACGGGTCTGCAGTAGAAGGAGCAAACCCAAGAGCCGCAAGCGTAGTCCTCAGTGTGTCGTGCCACTCACGCGGCGCCTGGCGGAGACCGTAGACTGGCCGCCGGAGGCTCCACTGGGTACCAGGAGGAAACGACCCAGTGAAGCCAGGTGGGCGGCGCAGCCAGATCTCCTCGTGCAGGCTGCCCTGTAGGAAAGCTGTGCTGAAGTCCAGAGAGTGAAGCTCGTAGTCACGGTGAGTGGCTATGTGTAGTAGTACCCGAAGAGTGGTCATCTTCGGGGTGGGAGAGAAGGTCTGAAAGTAGTCAACTCCCTGCCGCTGACTGAAGCCTCGAGCCACGTAGTGCGCCTTGAAGACAGGCGGAGAACCCGGCGGCCGCTTCACCCTGAAAATCCACATGCCACTGACGATGTTCGCCCCAGGTGGAGGAACCTCGTCAACGTAGGTGCCTGTGGACTTCCAGGAAGCCATCTCTGCGTCCATGGCTGCCTGCCACTGAGAGGAGTAGGGACCCTCTATCGCCTCCGCGTAAGAGCGCGGAGTCGGGATGTCTGGTGCATCGGGGTCTCCCTCAGGGGCAAGCAGCGAGGACACAAGATGAGGTAAAGCAGCAGCAAGACACTGGAACTCCTCCTGCCTGTCCTCAAGGACGTCCGTGCTAAGAGCACACTCACCCCCGACGGACGGAGGACAGACAGACTCAGACTCAGCAACAAGACTAGCGGCGTAGTCGAGACGACAGGCAGCAGCAAAGTCAACAAGCTCAGCAACCAAGGCAGACGCAGCAGTAGACTCAAACGACGGGTCAGTGACAACAGTGGCTAACAGACGCGTGACAGTAGGGTGCTCAGCACGAAACCGGTCAGACGCAGGGTCCGGAACAGCAGGCAGAGAGGACGCAGGCGGAGACGGCAGAGGAGCAGACTGCGGAGCAGAGGAAGGACGACGGACAACAAGGTGTGCGCTGGGGACAGCCGGCTGACGCGCACGAGCGACACGACGACCGGTACGACCAGAACGAACAGGCGAGACAGGACGCGACACAGGCTCACGACGCTCAGCAAGACTACCCGTCTGCTCAGTGTAAGGAGAAGGAGCAGGCAGCGGTGAGCCAGGCTGTAACGGAAGACCAGTGGACGACGGGAGAGTAAGAACCTGACGAAGAACAGAGTCAGGCGGCGGCAGCGACGACGGAGACGGCGGAGCGAAGAACAGTCGTGTCGGCGCAGCTGCACCAGCGCCAGCACCTCCAGCAGCTCCAGGACCTCCAGCAGCTCCAGCACCTCCAGCAGCTCCAGTGCCCCCAGCTGCTCCAGCACCCTCAGCAGCTCCAGGGTCTCCAGTAGCTCCAGCACCTCCAGCAGCTCCAGTGTCTCCAGCCACAGAACCGGAGCCCCCAGCGCCAGCACCTCCAGAACCAGCGTCACCAGCAGCAGCACCCCCAGAACCAGTACCTCCAGCAGTAGAGCCCCGGGCTCCAGGAGCGCGGCCCTGATGGCGACCGTACCAGTCGTGCAGCTGCTGAGTGGTGAGAGGCACACGCGGACGAAGGCGGCCACTCCAAGTAGGCCGCGCACCAGCAGTCCCAGTACCCTCAAGCGTCTCACCTCCAGACTCAGCACCCCCAGACTCCGCACACACAGGCTCAGCACCCCCAGACACAGCACCTCCAGTCTCCTCACGCGCAGGCTCAGCACCCCCAGACTCCGCACCCCCAGGCTCAGCACCCCCAGACTCCGCACCCCCAGGCTCAGCACCTCCAGGAGCACCACCCCCAGCAGCACCAGAGTCGACAGCAACCGGCTGCAGAGGCGGCGAAGAAGGTCGCGGAGGGAACCCCGGAGGGGTCTCCAAGCGTGGTGCGCGGCGGTAGGCCGCCGGGGCGTCAGCAGCAGCGTCACCCCCCTCAGGTGGGCCAGAGGTGTCAGAAGTGACCTCCAAAGGCTCAGCCAAGGGGGGGGGGTCTACCTGAGACACACCTGAAGGAGCAGGACCCTGAGGGGGGAGGGGGTCTACCGGGGGGGGACCTGGCACAAGGAAGAGCGGCGGGGGGGGGAGGGGGGCAGCGCGGTAGGGGAAGAGACGGTAGTACGGAACCGACTCGTCAAACGTGACGTCCTGGGAGGAAAGAACACGGTGCGAGGTGGGGTGGTAAAACTGCCAACCAGGCGCGTCAGGGGGGAAGCCAAGGAAGACGCAGGGAACAGCACGGGAGGACATCTTGTCCGCAGACAAGTCTCGGACAAAAGCCCGAGATCCCCAGACACGGAATGCAGACGCATCGCCAACCTTCCCCGTCCACAGCAGAGTGGGGGAGGTCTCCGGCATGGAGACCCGGGGCTGAAGGTTGATCTGATGCGCCGCGTACTGAACCGCAAACGGCCACAGAAAATGGGGAGCAGCCGCATGGATCATGGACGTACGAGCGACATCCATGACTAAGCCAATGCAGCGCTCAGCAATCCCATTTTGCTGTGGAGAGGCCGGAAGCGTGAACGTCTGGCGGATGCCCCTCGCACGACAGAAGGCTCGCAGAGGGCCGGAGGAAAACTCCCCACCTCTGTCAGAGTGCAGACGCAGAACAGGAAAGTCCGAGCCGAAACTCTTCCTGAGCTGGAGACGAGCAGCGCGGATCCAGTCGATCAACACCTCAGTGACCTCATCCTTGCGGCGCAAGGGGAAGACTGAGGTGTAACGCGAGTAGTCGTCAACCACCAGCAGGAAGTAGCGCTCGTGACCCTGTCCACAGACGCGGGCTGGGCCCCACACGTCCATGTGAAGAGTCTGCAGCGGAGCCTCTGTCGGCGGAAACTCGGAGGAGTGAGGAGCGACGTGCTGCCGCCCCTCGACGCAGGGAACGCAGGTAGGGGCAGGCCCCGGAGGGAGGGGAGGGAGAGACCGGGGGAGACCAGAGACCAGGACACGAGAGGCCATGCCTCGGAGACGAGGCAGGGAGGGGTGACCAAGACGGTGGTGCCAGAGAAGAGTCTGGTGGGACAGGAGGCGACACGAGCAGGGGGCAGACTCAGGACCAGACCGAGACGCTGCAGCAAACACCTGACCCGACGCAGCTACCTGACCAGGCACAGCAACCGGAGGAGACTCGGTAGTGAGGGTGTACAGGCTCGACCCCGGCCGACGGGTAAACGTGGCCAAGTGTCAGCCTGTGTCCGCACACGTGCAGTGGGTCACCCGCTGACGTGCAGGGGTGAACTGGTCAACCCCCCCATCCTGTAGGTCAGCACCTGCCACCAAGTTCGTAGAGAACGAGGGGAGGTAAAGACCCGACAGGGAGCCAGACGGGACCGCTGGACACGGTAGGACAGTGGAGTAGTGGGCAAGCACAGGACCCCCAGAGGTGTCTGCTTAGGTCGGGAGTTGCTATCTTTGATCTTGACTATGATGCTATCCTTGCTGCCATGTAATTATGTCTACTAGTGATGACGGAACTCAGTGGCGTCACGGAACCGGAGACGCCAGGCATCTGTCAGGCGGCCGAAGCAGCGCTGAGTGGTGTGCGGGCCGCCACACTGCTCCCCAGTGCGGTCACCAGTACGGAAGAAGTACGTACAGGGACCAGCACCCCCAGGCCGCTGACGCCCAGCGTACCACTGGTGAAGCTGCTGGGGTGGCGGGGCCTCACGAGAGCGCTGCTGCTGCTGACGCTGACCACCACCGAAGCTCCCTCGCTGCGTAGAGCCACTCCGACCGCCGCCACCGCCGCCACCGCCGCCACCGCCGCCACCGCCGCCACCGCCTCCACCGCCGCCACCGTCGCCACCATCGCCACCGCCACCTCCTCCACTCCCACCGCCGCCGCTGCCGCTGCCTCCGCCTCCACTGCTGCCACTAGAGCCCCCACCTCCGCCACCACTCCCACCTCCACCCCCACCCCCTCCGCCGCCTCCACCGCCACCACCACCACCCCCGCCAGCTCCTCCAGCTCCCTTGCCCCCCTTACCCTTGCTGTTGCGGCGCCTCCCGCTAGGGGCAGACGCAGCGCCGACCGACTCAGTGCCAAGGAGGTCGACAGCAGCAGCAGAGGCAACAGAGGGCAAAAGGGGAATGGGGGAGCACCCCTCAAAGACAGGGGTACGAGGGTCACCTCGAGAGGCTCCTACAGCGACTATGCTCTGCTCAGCTGCAAGGAGCTCCTTCTCGAGGAGGTCAACGGTGAGAGTGGTAGGGCAGACAGCAAGGAAGTGGTCCCTGACCGAGCGAAGGGAGTCAGGGAGCCGGGTGACTAGGTAGTAGAGGGTGATATACATGGGGGGGGTTATGGGCGCGGAACTCAGCAGGAAGCGCAGCACGGTAGCGGGTGTCACTAGTGCGGAGGTGCGTAATGAGGTCAGCGACTGTAGCAAAGGCAGCGAGGTCAGGGAAAAGGTACGGCAGCATGAGGCGACTAAGGGCAGCAGAGGCAGGGGAGGAGTAGCGTGCAACGACAGCATCGTACAGGGCCTTAGCAGTTTTGTATTGACTAAAGTGCGCGCGCTCAGCGGGGGGCAGGTGACTGCGCACAGCAAGGCGGGCAGCAGTATCGCGTGTGTTCCAGCGGGAGCGAGTAGTGCTGTCAGCATCAGCAGCAGGGGCAGTAGAGGCACCAGACGTGAGATCGAACAGTGAGAGGTCGTCTTTGCTATCACACTGCAGGAAAAGCTGCAGATCATCCAGCCAGACCTCAAAGTCGATCGCACGACCCTCAGCATCGAAGGTAAGAATAGCGGGAGTAGCCATGACAGCAGCAGCAGCAGGCTAGCAGTAGCAGCAGCAGGGCAGTGCTCACCAGTGGCGAGAAGGGCAGGTGTACGATGGCAGTAATGGCGAGGCCGCTACCAAAGCAGGGCGAGGGCTCCTGGGCAGCTGCAGAGGCGGCTGCTGCAGAGGGGCGGCTGCTCCAGGGGCGGCTGCTGCAGAGGCGGCTGTTCCAGGGGCCAGGGGCGGCTGCTGCAGGGGCGGCTGCTGCAGGGGCGGCTGCTGCAGGGGCGGCTGCTGCAGGGGCGGCTGCTCCAGGGGCGGCTGCTGCAGGGGCGGCTGCTGCAGGGGCGGCTGCTCCAGGGGCGGATGCTGCAGGGGCGGCTGCTCCAAGGGCGGCTGCTGCAGGGGCGGCTGCTCCAGGGGCGGCTGCTCCAAGGGCGGCTGCTCCAGGGGCAGCTGCTGCAGGGGCGGCTGCTCCAGGGGCGGCTGCTGCAGGGGCCGCGCAAGGGGCCGCGAAGGGCCGTGAAAGGGGGGCCGCGACGGGCTGGAAGGGGCCGCTCGTAGGCTGCGCATGCAGCTGGCGGGTCGCGCGGGCTGCTGGCGGGCTGCGCGCGGGCCAGCAGAGGCGACGCGCGGGCCGCGCAGGTTGCTAGCGGGCTGCGCGCGGGCCCGCAGAGGCGACGCGCGGGTCGCGCGCGCAGTGAGCGGGCAGCGCGCGGGCAAAAAAAAAGCGACGCGCGGGTCTAGCGGGCCGCGCGCGGGCAAAGGAAGGGCGTGTGCGGTAATGCGCGACGCAGGGTAGACAAGGCGCGGCGTAACGTGGTAACAGTAGTGTGGGCCCGAAAAAAAAAATATTTCCTAAGGTCCTAGGGACCTCCTGTCAGAAGAACTAGGCAAGAATGATGAACTAGCAGAAGTTTGGGTACAAATATGAAACCCTAATGGGGTTGTACCCCATATTGGCTACCCCACTACAGCCTACAAGCATAATACAGTTTAACACACCCCCATAGGCAAAGTGGGGGAGAACAAAGGGTCACAAGACCAGTCCAGCAAAGCAAAGCAAAGCCCAGGGTGGATCACAACGTCACCACACTCCGAGCACAAGTAAAGGCCACAAGGCCAGTTCACATGCAGTGCTAGATATAGTACAAGACAAGCAACACAGTGATCAAAACCTAGCAAGCAAGCAACAAGATATATATAAAGTACAGTACAAAGAATGTCAAGCAGTGAGCAAGTGAGGAAACGTGGACACAAGGCCTAAAGAAGTACAGTGCCGCTGATGATCACTAGGCGGGAGCGCCTTGGTGAAGATATCAGCAGTGTTGGCCTTCGAGTCCACGTACACAAGCCGAAGCTGACCGCGCTGCTGAAGCTCTCGAGCAAGAAAGTAGCGAAGAGCAATGTGCTTCGTCCTGTGCTCCAGTCTGTGCTCCTGACACAAGGCAAGAGCCGCCTTGTTGTCACCGTACAGAACTGGAGGAGAACTAGGCCGCTCTCCCAAGTCAGTCAGCAGGTAGGTGAGCCAGCGTAACTCCTGTGCAGCCATGGCTGTGGCGTAGATCTCAGCCTCACAACTAGAGCCGAGAACAGAGGAAGAGCGGGTGGACCGCCACGAGACAGAACCTGAGCCAAGGCTGAAGGTGTAACCCTGTGACGACCGCTGCGTAGCCAGGTCGTCCACCCAAGAGGCGTCCGAGTGACCAGTGAGGACAACTCTGTCGCGTCCTCCAAGCACCAGCCCCATGCCTGATGTACTGCACAGGTAACGCAGCACCCTCTTAGCAGCCTCCCAGTGCTCTCGCCTGTGTCTCCCAGGCGCAACGTAACGAGCAAGGATGCTAAGAGGGTACGCGAGGTCAGGTCGCGTGCAAGTCATCAGGTACATGAGGCAGCCTACAAGCTCTGGGTACGGGCCACTCGGCTCTACGGACTCGTCCGAAGGTGGAGCTGAGAGCGAGTGGCTGGTAGCCAGAGGTGTGGCCTGTGGTGAGGAGAACTGGAAGCCGAAGCGCTGAAGGACCTGCTGCACCATGTGTGATTGAGTCAGGGTGATGGTGCGGCGAGCTCTGTCCCGGGTGATCTGCAAGCCAAGGTAGCTACGCAGTTCACCCAGGTCAGTGCAGGTGTGTCTCTTCTGCAGCTCCGACTTCACACGAGCGAGTGCCTCAGTGTCAGCAGTAGCAAAGACCAAGTCGTCGACGTACACGAGGATGTAGAACGGCGGCAGCGACGTGTCTGTGCGCAGAAACAGCGACGGGTCAGCAGTAGACGGCGCGAACCCAAGAGCCGCAAGAGTAGTCCTCAGTGTGTCGTGCCACTCACGTGGCGCCTGGCGGAGACCGTAGACTGGCCGGCGGAGACTCCACTGGGTACCAGGGGGAAACGACCCAGTAAAGCCAGGTGGGCGGCGCAGCCAGATCTCCTCGTGCAGGCTGCCCTGCAGGAACGCTGTGCTGAAGTCAAGAGAGTGAAGCTCGTAGTCACGCTGAGCAGCAACGTGCAGCAGAACCCGAAGAGTGGTCATCTTCGGGGTGGGGGAGAAGGTCTGGAAGAAGTCGACCCCCTGACGCTGACTGAAGCCTCTAGCAACGTAACGAGCCTTGAAGACAGGCGGAGAACCTGGCGGCCGCTTCACCCTGAAAATCTACATGCCATCGACGATGTTCGTCCCAGGAGGGGGAACCTCGTCGACGTAGGTGCCAGTGGACTTCCAGGATGCCATCTCTGCGTCCATGGCTGTCTGCCACTGAGAGGAGTAGGGACCCGAGATCGCCTCTGCGTAAGTGCGCGGAGTGGGGATGTCTACTGCATCCGGGTCTCCCTCAGGGGCAAGCAACCAGGCCACGAGATGAGGTACAGCAGCCGCAAGTGAGTCAAAGTCCTCCTGCCTGTCCTCAAGGACGTCCGTGCCAAGAGCACACTCACCCCCGACGGACGGAGGACAGACAGACGCAGACTCTGACTCAGCGACAAGGCTAGCAGCGTAGTCTAGACGACAGGCAGCAGCAAAGTCAACCAACTCAGCGACCAGAGCAGACGCAGCCGAGGACTCAAAGGTGGGGTCAGTGACAACAGTAGCAAGGAGACGCGTGACAGTAGGGTGCTCAGCGCGATACCGGTCAGACTCAGGGTCCGGAACGGCAGGCAAAGAGGACGCAGGAGGAGACGGTAGAGGGACACGCCGAGGAGCAGTAGAGGGACGCAGAGTCATGTAGTGAGTGCCTGGGACAGGAGGAGGACGCTCACGACGGACACGACTACCAGTGCGAGCAGGACGAACAGGCGACGCAGGATGAGACTCAGGCTCACGACGCTCTGTAAGACCTCCTGTGGGACCAGTGTAAGGAGAGGGAGCAGGGAGAGGCGAGGTAGGCGGTAACTGTGACTGCGGCTGGACAGGCGGAGGACACTCTACGGAGGGAGGAGGACAAGGAGGAGGAGCCTGCCCAAGAACCTGCTGAAGGAGCGGTACGAAGTACGGTCGCGGCCGCGCAGCGTCTCCAGAAGCAGAAGGGACTCCAGCGGCCGGGTCCTCAGCACCAGTAGGAGCTCCAGCGTCCGGGTCCACAGCACCAGCAGCAGCTCCACCGGCCGGGTCCCCAGCTCCAGCAGTAGCTCCACCGTCCGACTCCTCAGTACCAGCAGCAGCTCCACCAGGTGGGTCCGCAGCACCAGCAGCAGCGCCACCCCCAGAGTCGGGAGCTCCAACTCCGCTAGCACCGCCAGCGCCAGAGTCCCCAGCTCCAGCAGCTCCAGTCGCAGTGCTCCCAGAACAGCCAGTCCCGGCAGCTCCAGTACCCCCAGTACGAGCACCCCCAGGACGAGCAACTCCAGCACCCCCAACTCCAGCCGAGCCACTAGGACGGCGAAAGCGTCGGACGTACCAGTCACGAAGCTGCTGCGGTGTGAGAGACTGCTCAGCACCCCGAACCGGAGCACCCCCAGACACAGTAACCCGAGGCTCCGTAGGCTCAGTAGCAGCACCCCCAGGCTCAGTACCCGCAGGCTCAGTACCCGCAGGCTCAGCACCCCCAGTCGCAGCACCCCCAGGCTCAGCACCCCCAGGCGGCAAACTCTCAGGCACAGTACCCTCAGCTCCAGCACCCGCAGTCCCAGCACTCCCAGGCCTCGCACCCGCAGGCTCAGTACCCCCAGGCGCAGCACCCCCAGGCTCCGTACTCTCAGGCACCGTACCCTCAGCTCCAGCACCCTCAGTCCCAGCACCTGCAGCCCCAGCTCCCCCAGGCCCAGCACCCCCAGGCTCAGCACCCCCAGGCTCAGCACTCCCAGCAGCACCACCCGCAGCAGCACCTGAGTCACCTGTGACCTCGACAGGCTCAGCGACGGGAGGAGGGTCTACCTGAGAGACACCTGAGGGAGCAGGACCCTGAGGGGGAAGGGGGTCTACCGGAGGGGGACCAGGAGCAAGGAAAAGCGGCGGGGGAGGGAGGGGGGCAGTACGGTAGGGGAAGAGACGGTAAAAAGGGACCGACTCGTCAAAGGTGACATCCTGAGAGGCGAAGACCCGGCGCGAGGTGGGGTGGTAAAACTGCCAGCCAGGCGCGTCAGGGACAAAGCCAAGGAAGACACAGGGAAGCGTGCGGGAGGAGAGCTTGTCCGCAGACGTATCGCGGACAAGGGCACGAGCACCCCACACCCGGAAGCGCGACGCATCGCCAACCTCCCCCGTCCAACGTAGTGTGGGCGAGGTCTCCGGCAAGGAGACACGGGGCCAGAGGTTGAGCTGATGCGCGGCGTACCGGACAGCAAACGGCCACAGAAAATGGGGAGCCGCCGCGTGGACCAAGGAGGTACGAGCGACCTCCATGACCAGGCCAATGCGACGCTCAGCAACCCCATTCTGCTGTGGGGAGTCCGGAAGCGTGAAGGTCTGCTCGATGCCCTCCGCCTGACAGAAGGTCCTCAAGAGATCGGAGGAAAACTCTCCACCTCTGTCAGAGTGCAGACGTAGGACAGGAAGATCCGTCCGGAAACGGCGGCGGAGCTGGAGACGAACCGTGCGGATCCAAGGG